GGTTAAGCCGCTGTTGTCTTTCCCACAAACTACACACTCTGGCAGGATAACCTGAGCCTCACCTGCACCCCCTGCCTTCCCGATAAGGTGGCTTGATGATGAGGAAGAGGAAGCGAAACCTCTCGGCCTCAAGCCCGGCCACAGCAGCGGCCCTGCCTTCGCCTCATGCAGAGCTGCTCAGGCTGTGCCTGGACACACTGGACTGGCTCCCCTGCCCACCACACCTGCTGAAAGGCAGCACAGCCAGGAGCCTCTGGATGGCAGACCTGGCAGACCGCCCTCAGCTAGACTGGGAACTGGCCAGTAAGCGCCGCCTTTGCATCTAAAAAGGCAGGCAGGGACCGTTATGTTCCTGAAGGAAGGTGAGAAAAGGGAAAAAGGGTCCATGAAAAGATCTCCCCATGGAGGCCCTGCTGAAGAGCTTTTGGGGGAGGGGGAACGGGGGGGGCGGCATCATTTTTCAAAGCAACAAAACAAGCCCCCTTTGGAGAGAGACCTCTTAGAGTAATTGAGGGCTGGGTGTCCTCACGGGCCAGTTCTAACTGCCGGGTGTGTGGAGCCCCGCTAAATGGTAATCTTCCTAAATGAGCCCTCATTCTCTGGAAGAGGAGGGGCGAGCATTGTAGCTGGGAGCGATTAGCAGGGAAGAAAGCAGGAGCCAGCTGAGAGGGCCTATGGGTTTCTGCAGTCTTTACACCAGGAACATTTGTTTCTGCATCAGACACCCTGAAAGGCAAGGGAGCAACATTTGCACATCAAGTGCGTCTGTGTTTATATGCTAAAATCCAGCCCACATGCCACTTGCATAATAACCTCCCGGGTGCATGCGGATCTGGGGGGCGGGGCTCCCCAACTCACAGGCATGGCGTTGTTGAGGGTGTTGTTGTAGACGCAGGCGCGCAGGGAGTAGTCCAGCACGCAGTTCTCGAACAGCTGCAGCGCCTCCGTCACCTTCTCGTGGAAGTCGTCCGCAGACTTATTGGAACTTGCAAAGTAGAGATAGTCTGAGTACAACCTGCGAGGGAAGGAGATGGACATTTTTACTGCCCGCCTGGGTGGAATCGCGCCGTCTGGTGCCGAGGAACACCCACCAATGTGCGGTTACAGTATCTGGTTTTGTTCATGACGACAGAACCATTCGTCTGTCCCTCTGCAGACAGCTACTCCCCGCCCAGACGGCTCTCCTGCAAAGGCCCCGACACGCGCAATGACAGCAAAGTGCAGAAATTGTACAACAGCGAGAGAGGCTGTGAACATTTTACGTTCTCCCAGGGCCTCCCTCGCCCACTGGACGCAACAACAGCAAGAACAGCTGCCTCTCACAGTGTCGCAGCCCGCACCAGCCTCCTGGACCTTCTGGGGACCGGGGGATGCTGAGATCATGCAGGCAGGGGCGGGGCTTTCTGCGCTGGTGAGGACCTGTTTCTACACAAGTCAGAAATTGCCCCAAAGCTGGTGCTCCGTTGATCTGCCACATAGGTGTGGGACGGTGCTTCCATCCGGGAGCTGACAGTCTCCGTGACAGAACTTGACGCCCCTGAACCCTCTTCCCAGCTAAGGCCCAACTTTTGAACCTCAGTGTCTGTCTGTATTTTAACAAAATCCTGCAAGAATTTTTCTGGCAGAGTTTGGCTTCCTAGCAACCTGGGAGCCTGATTCATGCACCCTCAAGCTCTGAGGGGGGTCCTCTCCCTCTCTTTAGCCAGAGCCCCCTAACTCTGACGCTGCTTTCAGTAATTTTCCACCCTCCCCCCCGGGCCCCTGCACTGCCGTCCCATTCAGTAACAAGTGGCAGAATCGTGATTGTTTTGCTTTTTTAAATTCTCGGCAAAAAAGATTTTATTGTAATTTCAAAAACATAGATTTTTTTTTAAATATCATGGAATATTTATTTTTCTTCCACCAGATAAATAAAAAGTAGATTGCAACAGAGTAGAAAGCGAATGTGTTACTAAAGTCTGTGGCCCGGTCTTCCCATCAGCCCTCTGACAGTCCCACCCCCCAGAGGGGATCTGGGTTATCAGCTTCTTCCTGTCAGGGGAGCACTGTTCAGGTCCCCAAAGGAATAAGCTAAAGCATTATAAAAATGTCTTTCAAGAGCGATACCGCAACCCCACAACCACTCTGTGGAGGAAGACTGGGGCAGTGACCTTGGACGAGTAAAAGCCACTTGGACGTGTTAAAGCCACTCAGAAAAAGTCAAAAGTCAAGGAAGACAGCAAAAGGATCAAGACCACGTGTCCACACAAGCCTCGGGGAGCTGGAACAGGCACGTTGGTGTAAAAAGTTGAAGTGTAAATTTCAGCCCCTAAAATCAGCTAGACAGTGAGGAAGTAGGGCCGGCGGCCATGGAACACGCAGGCTGACGTGAGCTGGGCATGAATCACTCCGGAACCACAGGGACGCTGCTGCGGACCAGGCTGCGCTCACAGAGATCTGCGCTGCAAATGTGGGCAGGTCACTGCTTCCCTGGCAGGTCGGGGCCCCAGGGGATGCTTGCCCTTGGCGACAGGAGCCGAAGACCGGGGGGCAAGGAGCAGCTCCATCGGAGGGCGCCGGGGGGACGTGGGCTCCGATGGGCGGGGGCTGTCCAGGTCTAGGAGACCTGTCCCTTTGGCCTTAGGGCTGACCAGTAAACGGAAAGCGAGAAAGACCGCCGCGGGGCCCTCCCTGGTGGGCAACGGGTTAAGCGCAGCACTGGGAAGCCGGCTGCAGCCTCTTTAGCACAAGCTGAATGCGGGGGTGACCGGCAAGGCGCAGCAGACCTCTCCCGTCTCCCCCGGTGCTCCCCTCGGTGTTATTTCGGTTGATCTTCCTGTTCTGCTCCCCACTCTGTCGCTGGTGAAGCCTCTCACCACCCCTGTACCTCTGGCTTGTACCCCAGTTCTGTGTGCATAAATAAATATTTAAAAAATAAAGGAAGAAAGACTGCCCTGTTACGAGGGAGACATCTCCCGGGGCATCCACTTCTGGACAGCCGGGGGCGGAGGCTGGGGGACACACCGGCACCCGGCTGAGCTCGGCCCGACGCCCTTCCCGACCCGAGCTTCATGGCTGCCCCGCCCCCTCCTGCTGAACCACCTCATATTCTACGCTCAAACCATCCCGAACAGATGGGTGTTGCATTTGGCCAGGACTGTTTCCAACAGCAATTCCAAATATAAGCCCGAATGCATTCCAGGCCTTCTGTGCCGCAGTTATTTTGGAAGGTTGCTGGGGCAGCCGTGACCGTGGGCCTGTGCGCGGAGGCTCGGCGGGGTTCCTTCCTGGGAACCCCATCCCGGGACCCCAACTGGATGCGCGTGTTGGGGGAGAAGGGATTCCTTCAACCCGGCGTCCCTGAAAGGGACCTGGAAGGACTGTGTCCCTTCCCCAGGGACAGAGGGCCGGCCACTAGGAGACCGAAAGCCCAGCCAATCCGACCCTGCGGACACCGAGTTGACCACGCAGTGACAGGGGCTTGGGTCTGAGCCTGAGCGAGCAGAGGGACGTGTCAAATGGGCTGAGCACCGGCCAGGCCTGCGGGTGTAGAGCCCCTGACCTTCTGCTCCAGCCCCTGCTCACGGCTGCCCAGGAGCTGGTCACTGCATCGCCCGACTCGGGGACCCTTCCTCGGCCACACAGACCAGAGGCCTTGGGCTGGGGCCCAAGACACCCCACCAGCCTGACCCCAAATCCACTGGGCTTGGCTGCGTAGGTGGGGTGCTGGCCACTGAGCCGAGGGTTCGGGATTTTGTTGTTTTGATGTTTTTACTGTTTTAGGTGCAGTGATTTGGAAGCAGAGGCAGCTCTGCTGCCAGGGTGCTGAGTACCTCAAGAGCCTGACTCCACGCCAGCGCGGGGCAGCGCACGGACACCCGAGCACAGCCACTCCTCGGCGCGGTCGGGGGGTTGTTGGGGGGCAGGTGGGGGGCAGGCGTGTGCAGGGAACATGGTGTCTGGCGGCCAGGAAAACTCCAGCAACCACACGTGGACCTCCGGGGACCCAGCGCGGAGCCAGGCCTCCCCACAGCCCTCTCCCACTTGCAGCTAAAACTCGCTGCTTCCTGCAAAAGCTATTTTAATGGCTTTCAGTGTTTAGATTTTTAGTTCTTGAGCTCAGGTTTTTGTTTTAATTCTTAAGTGACAACGTGCTTGTCCACTGGCCTTCCCTCTGTGAGGAGACCCTGGAGAGTTCCAGCTGCCGCTGGTAGGTGGGGGGCCTCTCTCCACGCTGGGTTTCTCTTCCTGACATGCCATTTTGAAATTAAGATTTAACCCACGTATGGTGAGAGTCGCCGTTTTGAAGAGAACCAGCCATTTTCAGGAAATGCACAAAGCTGCACAACCACCACCCATCCAATTCTATAATGTTCTCATGTCTCATGTCGCTTTTGACCTCTCTGTTCCCAGAGGCCCATGTCAAGGGTCATGGAGCCCACTGAGGCACACAGAGGGCCACGGTGCCAGGTCCAGGCAGGCAGGTGCCACTGCCCTGCCCGTCACTGCCCCGGGGTCATCGCCCATGGGCTACACTCTGGCTGGAGAGGGCGGAGGGGGGTGCTGACACAGCGGCCGGGAGGGTGGGGGGGAGTGCTGCTCCCCATGGGTGTGGCCACCAGCTGAGAGGGGCGCCACGGGCCCTCAGGGCCACGTGGGGCCGTCGTCACGTGGCAAAGTGGCCACCAAAGTGGTGTCTCAATGCGCCCCCTGCCAGCCGGCCACCTCTGCTCCCTCCCAGCCCCATCGCTCCCGTCCTTAGCGGGCTCAGGCAGGCGGCCGAGGCCCCTCGTTTCTACAAACCGCTGGGCTCTCAAGCCGCTCTCACCCTGCTCCAGTGTCTGCCAGGTGAACGCCGAGAAGGCCGCCTGGTTCAGGCGGCGGCAGAGAGGGCACAGTCCCAAGTGTGGGCCTCACGACCGCTGTCCTCCAGGGCCAGCCAGTGTGTGGCCAGGGCGCCGCCCCTGCTGAGGAACGCTGGCCAGCCCCTCGGTTGGGTGGGAGGTCCCTGCCCCACACCTGGCTCGCAGCTCCACCCCCTCCCAAGGCCTCCCGCACCCCGGGCGCCCCCGCCCGTGGGCACACACCTCGCCTCAGACCATCCACAGGCCAAGACCTGGCACGGCCGTGTCTCCGCAGGCCCTGGCCACACACCCGCCCTCGGCAAACAACCCATGTGGGGATACTCAGGACTGGCGATGACTTGGCAAACCTCTTCCCCCAGAACAAACAGCACCGAGCACACGGGGACTTCGCGGGGTGCCTGCTCTCCCTCCAAAGCGCCACGCGGTCAGTCCCTACTGGACGGCTTCAGAGACGCCTTCACACAGGCCCGGCCACCCTGGCCCGGCCACCGCCAGGGCCCCCACCTCTCCCTGGACGGTCTGAGGCCTGAAGGCTCCGGGCTCTGTCCTGTGAAAGGGGTCAGCCACCCTGAGGCCCAGGTAAGGGTGATAGACTCCCAGCGAGGCGGCCTCAGGGCAGCAAATGCCTGGAATCAAGCAGGCAGCTTAGAGACGCCCCAGTCTCCCGCAGACCACTGCTCAGGCCTCCGACACCGCAGTGTCCGAGACGAAAGGCACCCACGGCAGGAGGGGTGGAAGCCGGCCTGTGGCTGCCCATACAACCTTTCTTTGCCTGGGGCCTGCACGGGCCTTCTCTTGCCCACAGGAACTTCCTTTGTGACGTGCCCCATTAATAATTAACCCAGTGGTGCCGGGAGCAGGCAGCTCTTTAAGCTGTCCCAGGGGAACGGGCCGGGGAGCCCATGCTCTCGGCCCAGAGCACATGCAGCCCCTCTGCTCCCGCTCCAGCAGCTGGGGCGGGCGAGCTGTTTGGGGATCTGAAGACCCAAGCTCGGCTGAGCGAAGGTCAGGGCAAATCAACGGCCCCACCCCCCCAGCTCCAGCCACAGGTGTGCCGGGCTGGCGTCTTGCTGGCCCTGACCTGCAGGACCCTGACGAGTCCACCGAGCCCGAGGCACCACAAAGACAGGCCGGCCGCTTACAGACCTTGGCGAGAGCCCTGCTCGCGGCT